TGCACACGCTCTTGACTATAGATAGTACTCGATCTCGACTACTTATGCTCCAAAGGTGGAATGATTATATAAATCTGAGCCTTACTAACAAACAATTAACTGCTTGTTCTTAGGCCATTGTTAACAGGCCATTTATGTCCTATTAAATGTCAGTTGTTTTTGACATGGAATGTTTAGCACTACCTTTCAAACAAACTCTAGTCCGCAAAAAAGACATTAGTTTTCATGATTCCAAAATAATCTTGATTGAGCACACATCGTTAATTTTAAATGTTCATCATAACAGGAGTATGTGAAACAACTATGAACGAAGTTTTAGAACTATATTTAATATATTAGAGTTTGTAAGGTGCACCAAATTCAACCTTCAGGTGATCCCTGTTTTTTGATTTTATTATACATTTTATGATTCGCCGGAACGCGCTGATCACAAATATCACCTTTTTAGCTCAACATGACCTCATCTTCAGGGAGAAAAACGCAAAATACTGCGCAGACGCCAGAAATTGAATGAGCTACCATTTGGAAAAAAAGTTCAAGCCTCAACTATCAAATTGATAGAGCAAAGTGGAAAATAAAAACAGTGTCATTCTTTATGGAACACCCGTTACTATAGTATATCGTAAGAATCCTGACAGGGTTCTATCATAGGACAAATCAGACTTTGAGCTATCCTATGGCTTTCCTATAGGATCCTACTCGAGTTTCATAGGAATCATATAGGCTCCTATCGTCGGATTCACTGATCTGCGTTGTGAATAAACAGCTAAACCTGTTACAATTTTAAATGTAAAATGAAATCAAATCGGCGTACGCTCTTTAGAAACGTTTAAGTGAAGCTAAGTACTTGAAAGGTGCTTGGTACAACCCATGTCTTCAATACCGATGATATACCGTCGGTTACCGGCTCGGCTACCGAATGGTATACGGCGCGCTAAATCGGCAAATTATCGCACGGTTACCGGGGTACCAGTCGGTTACAGATCGGTAATATGAACACATAGAACAGGAGTTCGAAACCAGGTTGGAACTTTCATTCTTTTTGACTTTTATCGAGCGTTTACAAACGCAGAATGACTCCTTTAAATAGGAGAAAGTCTGACTCCAGCCGAAATTTAAATTTCAACGACTCTGAAAATTAATAAAAAATAATTTTATCTGAAAATAAATCAACTTTTTTTCTATTTTTGGCGTTGCTTATATGTAATGACTGCTGCAAAACAAAACGGTGAATGTAAAAATCGGTTTATCGCTCGGTATTTTGTCATACCATGGTAAAGAAAATAACCGTTGCTAAACCACACGTTTCACCGAGTGGTACTGTTTAGCGACGGTGGTTTCTCGAACCGCAGCGAACCGGCGGTAATCACAAAAAAGTGCCACATGGGAAGTAAAATGAAGCTAGTCATGATATTTTTTCACAAATAATTTTAACAAGTAATTGTATGAAACTACACAAGGCATTCTAATACTTAATAAATACTTCACAAGGAAGTTTGAAAATACTACAGAAATACTTCGACAAATATCTTGGAAAACTACTAAATACTTAAGTACTCGGTCTCAAGTGCGCTAACAAGGGCTCTTCAATCCAAGTTTCCTTCTGTCATAGAAATAAGGAATGCATTTTATCTTCTTTGCTTATATAGTACAACAAAAACTCATATACATTTCCGAATGTTAGCTATATATTCCATGGAATGACTTCTTCACTATTTTCTCCGGCCAACAATTTGAAACATAGACGGTGGCGACATTAATCACAAATACTCTAGAATAGTAGTTGAAGAAACATTGTTAAGCTTTTCTTGACTATGCACTAGCTTAGTAGTTCGAATCTGCGTTATTCACTCAAAAACTTCATTTTCTTTCTCGATCAAAGTATATTGGTCTAATCTTGTCGAATTACAGATGAGGACAAACATGGTTACTAATGAAATGACTTTCTTAGTTAGTATGCATAATATAACTTTAATAATTAGATGGCAACTCAATTTATCTTTTCGTCGTCATTTTTTCTCGAGAGTTTGTACTTGGTTCTATTTATATTTTTGATTTTGTTTATCTACAATTTCAAAGTATAATAAGTCTATAACCATTTCAAATATAAATTGGCGTCAAGATTCTAAAAGAATACACTGAGAACAAAGCCAGCAAAAAAAAAAGACATCTGTTATTATTCAACTTAAACGTGTTTTCTTCTTTTTAGATTATGTAATTACTGTGGCAAAAAGAAAACTAAGAGTAAGCCATGTCTACGCCAGAAAATACTGATGATAGAGAGCAACCGAAAAGTAAAAAACCAGCTGGTACGTAGAAAACGAAGTTGAACCACTAATGATCCGTCCAAAAATTTGGACACACTCGTAAGAATAAAACTGTTTCAGTGAGCTAAATTTCCTTGAACTTTAAAAAGAAATTTAAATTTTACTTGCTTTAACTTTTCTTTGATTGGTTGAGTACTTTAACCCAGTTTCCACTCTCCTCATTGTAGATGTTTCAGGCAAATCTGTACAGGTGAAACATATTTTTATTCTGATACACAAAGCTTTGGAGTAGTTTGAATTGTTGCTTTGTTTGTGTAAAGGAAAAATATTGCTGTTCATCCTTTGCAATATTTAATTTATGAATGAATATAAATTCAACAATAATAGAATCAATAGAAAACTAGACTTGCTGGCTTTTAAATTTTAAAAAATTAAATTAAATTTAGCTATTATCTAAGATCCTATGCAGAATTATATCATTGTCTGCGTGTTTAGATACAGCATTTAAACAACAACGTTTACCAGCTTGGCAACCAATATTAACCGCCAATACTGCATTACCTGTCTTTCTTATTATTGGTCTGACATTTATTCCTATTGGCATTGTTTTAGTTGTCACTTCAAATAGAGTATGTATTCATTTTTAGCCTTACGATAGTTTGTATTTCTCTTTTTCTTAGGTTCTCGAGTATGATATTGACTATACAGATACGAAATGTATAAATATCAACAATAACAATAACCAAACGTGTGCCGATTATTTAAAAGATAACCCTGTTCCAACCACACCGTGTACATGTAAAATTAATTTTACACTGACTTCTGATTTTGATGTAAGTTCCAATGAATCAATCATTGTCATACAACACTAACATATATAACGGATGTTACAGAACGAATGATGTAGTTTTTATTTTCAGTTTTTCTCCCCTCCCTTTGCACTCACACAGCTCATTTTATACCAAAACATTCCCCATTCATTTCTCTACAAAACGGTGTATAGAAGATGATCGTGAGATTTGAGATGATGTCTTAATTGAATAAAAATCGAAATATCCTATAAAGTTAAAGAATTAAAACTTTTTCTGACGACAGACATTACTGAACAAAATGCGCTAGTTTTAACATCTCGAACGTTTCGCACGTGAGTTAAGTAGCCCAAACAAAAATGACGCAAGAATGTTCCTGATTGGTTCAGTCTTAGTTGAACACTGTTCATTTTACTAATAGCCCCAAAATGCAGGTTGGAAAAGCTGAAAAAACGGTCATAGGGCTTTTGCAAAAAACATTACTAAAAATACAGAAATAACGATAGAAAATACAGCTAATCGATAGAGAATTTTATGGGCTACATTTTGCCCTATTTGCTCCGCCAAGTCAAAAAAATATATCAAGAGGAGTATGATGGAGCATTCTTTTTTGAAAAGAAAAAGAAAGGAGTACTCTTTTCCCCAAAAAGAGTACTGCAAAAAAGAGTGCTCCATCATACTCCTCTTGATATTGTTTTTTGAGTGGGTGGACACAATGTTCAACTTCATCCTAACGAAATATAACTTTTTGAGTTAAATTTTTTAATATTAGACGAACTAATGGAATTTTCTAAGTTTGTAGGACATTTGGATTTGTGTTCATCTTCTGTACACCATTTTGTAGAGAATTGAATGGGGAATCTTTTGGTTAAAAAGATGAGCTCTTTAAATGCAAAGAGAGGAGAAAAACTGAAAATAAAAACTATATCATTCTTTCTGTTACACCCGTTATATATATATATATATATATATATATCAATTAAAATTCATGTGTCCGTTTTTAGGGCGATGTTTATTTTTATTATGGTTTGATAAATTATTATCAAAACCATCGACGTTATGTTAAATCACGTGATGATAATCAATTACTTGGTAAAAGTGGTAGTGCAGCAACTGACTGCGAACCATTTCAGAAAATAAATGGCACAGATATAGCACCGTGTGGAGCTATTGCTAATAGCTTGTTTAACGGTATATGCTTTCCTTCTCCATCTTACAGAACATTAGAATACTTTTGAACTCTGTCTATTTGTAGATACATTAACATTAGTATACAGCGGTCAAACTGTACCATTACAGAATACGAGTATTGCATGGAGTACAGATAAAAACGTTAAATTTCAAAATCCCAGTGACCCAGATCCATGTATGTGTTGTTTCATTCCTCTTATTTCCTAACACCAAGTTTTCCTTGTCAATTAGTGTATCTTGTCTGAATTATCATCACTGGAAAAAACGATACACCTCTATGAAATTTTCTATCTTTTTTTTTGGAAATTATTATGATGTTTCAAATTTTGATTAAAGTAACTGTTTTCTGTTTGTTATTTATCTTCTAGATTTTCGTAATCATGCTAAACCACCAAACTGGAATAAAACAGCATGGCAGTTAGATCCAACACATGAAGATAATAATGGTTTTGAAAATGAGGATTTTATTGTTTGGATGCGTACAGCTGCTATGCCAACATTTCGTAAACTATATAGAAAATTACTAACAACTAGTGAACCATTCACAAAAGGTTTACCAAGCGGCACATATGAATTGACAATTGTTTACCGTAAGTAGTGATAATCATTTATATAGCTCTTGTTTTAATAACAATTTTCTTGTTATTGTAGAATATCCAGTGATTAATTTTGCTGGTCGTAAACAATTTATAATAAGTACAACATCGTGGATGGGTGGAAAAAATCCATTTTTAGGATGGGCATATATTGTTGTGGGAATTGTTTGCGTTATTGTATTTGCGGTATTCTTTATTTTACATCGATTTTGGAAAATGTATGTTCTTGCTTATTAGAGATTCATGTTTATTAGCAGAAAATAAAGAAGATAGTACATTTATTTATTTAGACGATGAAAAGATAGAATAGTGCGAAATTTTTGTAGATCCATAATTTTCTAGTATGGACATTAAATTAAAAAAGTTTTAAATAATTTCAAGCCACTGACCTACTCGAGTTTCTCGCCCTCATACTCTCACATTTTTAGACCTTCCCACTATATTATTCACTATTACTCTGCTATAATTTTCAAAACTTTTTGAAAAAACAACTGATCACATTTTTGACTTTAAAAAGTTAAATTTTTTGGAAAAATCTTATGAAAACTCTTTAAAATCATTATTTTACTTCGACAAATATTGTGAAAAATCTGTTAAAGTCTTGGCATTTTTTTAAAATCTTTTTCTAACCATCATCATCCTAAAATAAATATAATCTAACCAGATGTGCATGATTTAAGAATACCATCATTCTTCAGATTGTTAATTAATAGACTGTTTTATTTTCCTTCTTTTTATTCTAGCGAGGCTCCAGTTACTTTACAAATGAGAAATATATCCCCTCAGCTAATCCATCGTTAGTAACTAGTTAAATAGATAAAGATTTCTTTTTCACAAAGAAAAAGAGGAAAAATAGTACGGTTATATTTTCATTAGTTGCCAATATGATTATCATTATTTTATTTTCGTTCTACAATAAAAATAATTTTATTTTTCGATAAATAATTAATTAAAAAGATTCAAAAAAACATCAGATTATTATCCGAATGAAAACTTGTGATATATAAGTAGTACAATCATAAAAATTTATCATAGTTTTTGTTTCCACTTTATAGATTAACTTAAGATTTTTTGACCGATGTTTACTCAACATATATGTCAAAAACATGTCCATTTGCATAGTATTTAATCAATCTATTCTTGTTTTATGATTTGTCCTTTATTTTGTCATTTTTGCATTATTCTTTACTCTCTCTCTCTCTCTCTCTCTTTATTTTTCTAATTGTATTTTCTTATTCTAGTAAAAACCGTGAACAAACAATGTGATGGACATATATAATTCGTCGTTTTTAATGGCTTATTTATTGTTGTTGTTGTTTTCTATAAAATAATACTCAATCTTTGTAATATCATAATCTCAGCATTCACCTACTTTCTATCTATACATAAATATTTTTGGTGTTGTCTATGGATTTTTATTTTTTTGTTGTTGTTCAAGAAATTCATTTGCACTCATTTAATGCACAAAATAACACTTATATGATCTAATTTTTGTTGCTGTTCATTCGTCTGCTTATTTTCTCGTTCATTGGCTTCTGTTTTCGTGAATGTTTTACTATGATGCTTTTTCTTTTTATTAAAATCTATCGAAGACTTTTTCTGAATAAAAAACTTACAATAAATACTTTTTAACAGTTAAAAGAGGAGTTTAACTGAAACGATGAGGTCAACTCGAGACATAATCGGGTAAGAAAAATTAATTAATTTGTCATAATTTCTGTTTGTCAAGCGTTATTCAATAGATAATAAACAGTTGTTTTCGTCCATTTAAAACTATGTTTTTTAAAATGAATATCTCTTTTAAAAATTAAATGTTTGAATCTATGTTTAAAAGTAAATCAATTTAAGCTCAGTAATATGATAGTTTATTGACAAAAATTCAATTGTGTGTAATTTGATCTTTTTCCATTTAGTGAAATATTTCTATGTATGCTATTGACAAAAAATTTGACAAATAACTTTTAGTCTATTATTAAAATAGATGTACTTTTCCTTATTTTAGATTTTTTTTGTGTTATGTCTGAGTTTCTCCCAGAACGAAACGGTGGTGAGGTTAATAATGGAAATAGGTAAGATAATCTTTTACATCCTCATGGTTCTTTGTATCATTCGTTCAATAATATCGTGCACTCCATTGTTTTTTGAATAATTTTTGTTAGAAATGAGATAGAGACTTGCGGTTTTCACCATTGTATAGAGAAGACCTGATAGGAGATATCTCAGTCAGGTTAGCTCTAATAACCTTAAAAATAATATAGATTTTTCGACTATGCTGCGTCTCGTGGCAATGTTTGTTTTCGGAAGAAAATTCAAGAACCTTGTGAAAACTTACAGTAGGTGACATAATCCATTTTTGGACATTTTCACCAAAACTTTAAAAAATTTATAACTCAGTGAAAAATCAATCAAAATTACCCCCAAAAACATAGATAGCTTTTCTGTTCTGTGATGTAATGTCTCTCTTAAAAAACACGTGCTGTCTCTCGAGAGCTGTCCAAATATCGTTATCTGGATAATAGCTATACATAGAGGAAATAAGGATTTAAGAAGATAACGGAAATCACGCCTAGCACAAGGTGGTAAAATAATGTCTTGTGACTCACTCTCATGCTGCCACCTTCCCACACCCCCACACCGTCCCTTGTGTCTCTTATCTTCTTAAATCCTTATTTTCTATCCTTATATCCTTAAATCCTATTTATATAGCTATTATCTAGATAA